GAAAGCAGTTCCACATAAATCTGTTCCAATGATCCCTTCTTTCCCCACACAAGTACTTCTGGCCAAAGAGAAATAATCTGCAAAACTAACTCTAATTCTACCTTTAACTAGAAGAAATATTGAAGGAGTTATAATGTACACAGAGTAAGTCCAAACAAGAACGTCACAAGGTATGATGCCTGGCTGTTCTATCAAGTCAAAGAGAGGCCGCTCCTTTCTCAAATGAGATTAATTTGTTTAGAAAGAAGAACAAAACATTCCAGTCAGCTGCAAAGATGAAGGGTAAGCCTGCTGTGTAGTCCTGGCTGGGCTCAGGGGTGCAAAAAGGGTGGAGTCATGATACACATCAAAGTTCATGTAGGCCCGTTTTTTGGGACACCTGGAACAGAAATCTTTTCAGTTTCATAGGCAGAGCAATCAGGACTCTGATACTGACTGACTTCCCAGCCTGTGGCTCAGTGATGATTTAAAGCCAATGACAAGTCCTTTACATCAGCGGTCTCCAACCTTTTTGGCACCAGGGACCGGTGCTCCCACGAGAATCTAATGCCCGATGATCTGAAGTGGAGCTGAGGCGGTGATGCTTGCGCTGGAGAGTAGCAGCTAATACAGGTGAAGCTTTGCTCACCAGCCCACTGCTCACCTCCTTCTGTGCGGCCTGGTTCCAGTCTGGTACCAGTCCATGGCCCAGGGGTTGGGGACCCCTATCTTACATCAAGCAAGTGCTGCCTCAAAGAATAAGCTACGTCTACTTACTTACTAATTTCTAGTTCTGAAAACAGGACAAGGTCACTTTCAAGTCCATCAAGAATATTTTAGTGAAGCAAAGAACAAAAACACCACAGATAAAAGACCTACCTCTCCTCCAATCCCAAAGAAAACACAAATAAATTTAGAACACTGAGTGTAACTTCAAGTGGTTTTAAAAGATGATACTGGAGATTTTATTAGCATAATTCTTCCAAGCAGTAGCTAGGTTTTTAAAATACTAGGTATATCTTTTTCTACTCCTATCAATATTCCATTTCCTTCTATATGTCTCTGTATTAAGCTGTATAATTTCATAGCATGTTTTATTTTTATTTCCCCTCTAATATACATGCACAATTATATCACTATAGTTGCTAAGCACTAAGAAACTGTTCCCACCACTACAGTGAAACTGCTTCCTCCTTGATTACCAACGACTACCTATTCGTTAAATCCAAGGGCAATTTCTCACTCATCACTCTCCAATTTTTCTGTAGAATCAAATGCCAGTAACTATTTTTCTCCTTCTTAGAACTTTTTCTTTTTTTGGCACCATGACTCAACATTCTCTCACAGACTACTCAATTCAGTTTTCTTTACCAAATCTACTTCCTCCTCTTGCTATAGAAACAGTCCCAAGGTTCTGTCCCCAGCCTTGCTTCTCCCACAACAGTCTCTTCCTACCTGATCTAACCTATTTCCCTGGCTTTCCTATCTCTGTCTCCAGCCCTGGCTTCTCACTAGCACTTCAGGTGAATACAAGACATTTCCACAAGGATGTTCCACTTAAAATGCCAAATGTACCAAACCCATCATCATACATTGTATCCCCAAGTTGTTCATCATCCTGTCATTCATTCACACACACACGTGCTTACACATTTAGTGAGCACTTATCATGGGACCAGACACTATGTTAAATGCTTCACATACATCGACTATTTTAATCTGCACAACAGTCCAATGAAGAAAGTAGTTATCCCCTTTTTAAAGATGGAGAAACCCAAACAGAGAGATTAAGAAATTTATTCAAGGTCACATAGGTAAAAACTGGTAGATTCAAACTAAGCAGTCTGATTTCAAAGACCATGCGTTAAATAACTACACTACATTACCTTCCAATCATCCAGGCCTGAAATTACTCTATATTTCCACACAGCAAGGCACTATGAGGTTGGTCCTGTGACCTCCAGGTTTCTCCCATCTGGCCTTCTCACTGATGCTACTGTACTTCAGTCCTCAATGCCACTTAATTTTTCTTAACTTCTGTCTCCTGTCTCTCCATAATTCATCTATTTACCTCACTCTCTTGCTCAAAAATCATCATAATTTATCTCCTGTCTCTCCATAATTCATCTATTTACCTCACTCTCTTGCTCAAAAATCATCAATGGCTCACAGCTTCCCACTGCCTATAGGATAAAATTAAAATTCTTTCCAGCCTCATCTACCACCATCCTTCTTCACATAGGAAGGATACGTGTTATTCTTTTTGACTGCCCAGCATCTAACTCCCTTCTTATGTCTGGGGAATTCCCTGCCTCCCAATGTAGGAGCTAAAAATGAAAGTGTTCCCATTCCAAGCCTCCTCTGCAGCTAGTTTATGGTGCCTGACCTAGGCCATGCCAGTTGGATGCGCCATCCCACCTGAGAAGTGGGCACCACAGAGAACTTTCCCTGGCAGCAAGAACAGCTGCAGGAAGATCTGAGTTCCCAGGCAGAACCCAGCATGCAGGGCCAGAAGTGTCCAGGTACAAGTACACCTACCCTGTGGTGGCAGCAGCCTTGTCCTTGTGGTTGCTCACTGGAGTGACTAGTATAGTTCCAAGCTACATAGCCTCCACACCTGTTTTTTCAGCCATCATGGCAACTCTGTGAACCACCCAACATCCTTCTTAAAAATCCCTTTTTGGCTGAAATCAGCCAGTGCCGGTATTTCCATGTAAGCATCCTTCACTCACCTCAGAACATGCCCTTTGCTTTCCTTCCTCATCTGACCTTGCCCACTGTTTCTTTCATCCAGAATTCTCCTCTGCCTTCTCCATTAGTCAAAACTCTTCCCATCTTTTAAGACCCAGTACAAGTGCTACTTCTACCATAAATGTAATAGCTAACACTTAATGGGCACTCTCTAAGGCCCAGGCATTCTTCTCATTTGGTCTTCACAAGAACAGTAGGAAGAAAATACTAACAGCTCTATTTTACAGTTGAGGAAACTATAATAAAAACAAATTAAGTGAATTGCCCAAGATCACACATCTAGTAAACAATGATGGAGTTAGAATGCAAATCCAGGAAATCTGACTCCACACTCCTGCTCTTAAGTAGGGGACAGCCAGAGATTATGGCCCCTGAGCCAAATCCAGCCCAGCAACCAAACCTGCCTCACAGCACGATTTCATACAACCATGATAGAAGAACAGTTTTTACATTCTTAAGTGGTTGGGAATTTAAAAAATCAAAGGAATACTATTCCATGACCCTTAAAAATTATATAAAATTCAAAAATCAACATCTATTTTTTGGAAGCACAGTAACACATTGTCTATGGCTTCTTTCAAGCTGTAACAGCAGAGGTGAGTAGCTGCAACAGAGATAGTATGGCCCCAAAAGTCTACAAAACCTCAAATATTTACTGTCTGGCCCTTTACTAAAAAAGCTTAAGACCCTGCTTTTAATCACTATATTATACTGCCTCTCCTAAAAAGCCTTTCCTGATCGCCTTATTTCCCACAAGCTGGAATAAATCTTTCTCTTCTCTGTATTTGCATGGAATGTGCATCTCTCTTATAAGAGGTAGTCTATTTTACCTTGAATTACACTTATTTTTTTTCCTCTAGCAGACTATAAATTCCAGAAGGCAGGAAGTAATCTTTCTCACTTTGTGCCTCACTTATTATTGGTAATTAATACATGCTTGCTGATTTTAAATAAAATATTGTAGTGTGACCTTTTAAAAAGATTTTCCTAACATATACATGAACCATAGAAATCACAGACTAGACCCTGTATTGGCAGGATGGGTGATAATGGGCACCTTCAACCACCACTGGTAGGTGTTTACATTGGTATAGCCTTTCTGAAGGGCATTTTGGCCTTGTTCATCTAATACCTTAAAAGTGTGCCTTTTTTAGGACTCAGAATTCCGCTGTTGGAAATTTATCCTCAAAAACATATGCAATAACTGTAGTCATAGGAGTTAACATATTTACTGAATATGTATTACGTGCTAGGCACTGAGCTGAGTCCTTTAAATGAAGAATCTCACACTCCTTAGAGTTAACACTGTTATGAGTCCTATTTCAAAAATGAAGAAATTAAAACCCGAGAGGTTAATTTGATCAATGTTAAGGGATTACAGATGACTTTTATTTAAGGGGAGGACTACGACTGATTTTAATTTTGTATATTATGAGGTTTTTCTAAATTTACTATTGTAATAAGCATGTATAATTTTTTAGGGCAGTAAGGGAGCACAAAACCTTACTCCTCTGTTTTCCTTTGGAAGCTTAGAAAAAATAATGCAGAACAAAACAAGCAAATGTCCTTTTTTATTTTCTTTGGAAAGAACAGTAAAAAGTCACCATCCTGGACTTTGAATCAAGAATAGTATTTCCTCACATAAAACATCCTTGAGAACACTCTGGATCCTATGTGTTTCCCATACAGCATCACTCAATCCATTAATACTGTTTGCCAATATGCAAGTAGACAGAAAATTGTGTTGTGACTCGTACTAAATAAATATTCTTTGGACATGAGGATGAATTCATCTATAATTATAGCAATTTAGAGAGGAAGAGTCCCACCCTGTCTGAAAATCTCCAGAGGTATTACATGATCCCAGATCACTAAGTTTTGGATCTTTTTGGAGTCAAGCTGTTTTGCCTCCAATCCAAAAAGACTAGTCCAGGATCTCCTTCTAAATCTACACTGAATTAACACAAATACTTCTAAGCTAGAATTAATGTGAAGGTGGCCATGTAAAAACTTCCCAGAGCCACACCTTACCTCTTCCGGCACAATAATTAATGGATACTTGTCCTCAGATAAAAAGTTGAAAATAACCCACACTTTAAATGAATCTTCTTCCATAAGGAGCAGGGGACTCTTTGTGAGGTTTTTTTTGACACAGAGGGTCCAACACATCCTATTAAATTCAATCTTGTCAAAGTTGTCTTGGACCTAAAAAGGAATGAGAAAAGATTCCAATGAGCCGATCTAAAATAAGCAGTATAATAATATAAGCCAAGTAAAACAGAAAGACAAAGCCTACTATAGGCTTCCATTTTAATCACTCTAATTAACCAATAACCATTTTCTAAGTATATGCTTAGGTACAACACTTTTGAAGGCTCAATTAAGAATGCTGTATCTCAAGCAATATCTGTCCACATCACTCACTTGGCACATAAAATACTGGCTTGTCAAATAGCTATTCTTTCATGTGTACAATTATCTTCTAAATAGACTACCAATCCTGATACAAAGGAGTTGAGAATGTCAATTACTCAAGATGAGCCACATACAGATATCTTTACCTATTCAGTCAAAGAAGATACTTTCTTTTGGGAAAAACTAACTGAAATTCTAAAGGACAGCCCTGCCATTCAGTCATTCAATCATGCATTCAACATTTCCACAGTATCTGCTATGAGCCAAGTACTATGCTATAAATTAAAGATATAAAGATGAAGAACTTGGACTCTGCTCTTAAAACATTCACAGTTTATTAGTGAAAACAGATATGCAAATAGGCAAATTTTAATATAACATGGTGTATAATTCAGTAGTTTTTCACTAATTCAACAGATAAAATTTAGATAGTCATTATTATCTGCCAGGGACAATGCAAAAATACTTAACTTAATACTAGCCCATGTCTCCAAGAATTGTCAAGACAATTACAATAGAGTATGATAAATACTAGAATAGAGATAAGCAGAGGGTTCTGTAGGAACATGGAGGAGCTAGCTCAATCTTAAGAACTGGGGGTAGATTTGCAGAAAGAGTGACATGACAACAGAGCAAAGTCCTAAAGGACCATCGAGAGTCAAACAATTCAAAAAAAAGGAGAAGAGTAAAAAAGGAAAAAAAGAAAAAAATAAGAGTCAAAGAGTTCAAGAATGGACTCAAGAGTGTCCCAGGTAGGACAGAATGTGAGAAAACCCAGAGACAGAGACAACTGTGGTCAATTTGGAGAACTGCAGGAAGTTTGATATGAATGGGGCACCTGGTGCTAGAGGGTGTTATGAGTTAAGGCTCTTCATAAGTACAAATAACAGAAACTGCCTTGGATTCCTTTAAACAGAAAAGGAATTGGATAAACAATAGGTAACCTCAAAGATCCAACACAAACACTGGAAAAGGTAGGCTCTGAAAATAAACTGCTACCGAGCCAAGCTAGGCAGTTAGAACAGTGGCTGAAACTACTCACGGGAACAGCGTGGTGCCAGTGTAACATGAGGCCATCACTGTTGCCACTGACCCAGTTGCAGATTCAAAGTCCCGTTGGCTGAGCTTGGGTCACATCCCTTCCCTCTAGCTGCCAGGGAATAGGGAAAATGAGTATCTGAACTTTCCAATATCTGAGATGTGAGACAGGTCATGTCCCCTACCAAGATGCTATGGAATTTCCCAAATATAAGAAGAGTTCGGATACTGAACAGACAAAAAAAATGACATATGTCCACTGCATGGGGCACAGTGAAAGATGAGGCTAAAGCGGTAGGTGAAGACCAAGTCACTTATAAGAAGAGCCTTATAATTCGTTAGGATTTATTTGCATTGAAAGAGTGGAAGGGAGCAACATATCCAACCTGCATTTTAAAAGCCATATTCTGGGACAATATGGAAGATACACTGGAAGAGGTGGGACAATATGAACAAATCATTTCCTTTTAGAGAAATATAAACAAAGTATTGTGTGTACTCTAAAGAAGACGTCACTAGCTGGCTACAGGGAGAAGCTTCTCTTGATCTCTAACTAGAATCTGTGGTTTGTAAACCAGTTCCCAGAAGTAAGAAGATATCCTTTGTGATCTGCCTTTAGCACCTTTTTTTTTTTCAGTCGGCACCACTTCCCACACACCCCCATCATAGACCATTGAGCCCATGAAGAAAAAGCAGCAGCTACTACTGTTGCTTCTCTTTTTTCTTCTTCTCTTTAACATCATTTATTGAGGACTTAGTATCTGCTCACCATTTTATATGCACTTAAACTTCATATCAGCCCTGTAAGGTTAAGTATTGCCCTTATTTAACAGATCAGGAAATAAAGATTCAGAAAAACTGAGTACCAAGTTCACTTGGCTAGTAAATTATCAACACTAGAGTCTAAATCAAAGTTCAAATGCTGTCTCTTTCCACTATGCCAAACTGCTTATAGAACTCAGTAGATAGAGGATATCTATATGACAGAAGACATCACTACAGGACTAGTTTCAAAGGCCACCACCATCAACTTAGTCTCAAAAGCACCACTAGAAAACACTAAGTAGAAGATACGCCAACAGGGAAAATGACATAAGTATATAGTATAAAAGCATATAGCCCTGTAGTGTCTAGATTTATGGCTGGAAAAGCAAACGCAGACCAAATCACAAAGAGCTTTATAATTTTGATTAAGAGCCTATAAGAAACCCCCAAATGAAGGGTTTTGGAGCACAGAACAACTAGGTCATCTTCAATCCAGGTTCATACTTCGTAGAAAAGATCGTTACTTGAGGCAGACCTTGAATATATTGAAAAGTGCAGAGTAAAGTATTCCAAAGGATAGGAAAAGAGAAGGCATGAGCAAAGGCATGGCAGGAGCAGCATGCCAACCACATCCAGGGAACAGTCACAGAGTTAAGGAGACAAAAACAAGAGAGAAGGAAAGATAAAGTGCTCGCTCATGGGCATCTTCAAATTGAGGCCCTGGTAAGACATTTAGACGGACATATCCAAAGACAATCAAAGAAGTGAAACTGTAACCTAAGCAGAGAGGCAGATTTGTGAATTACTGCATGCCACTGATGACTGAAATCACGACAGTCAATGAGATCCCTAAGAGAGAACATAAAGTGAGGGAAAAAAAGATGGGATCAGAAACAGAACCTCAGGGGAAACGTACATTTGCAAAGCAAGAGGAGGAAGAGGAATTATGATGACTGAAAAAGCAGTCAAAGTGGTAGGAGAACCATAAAGACATGAAAACTGAGTGGGGAAGCACTTAAGAAGAAGGTCTGATCAATAGTGTAAATTGCTACAGAGACTAGGAGTCTAAGAAAAGACCACTGGTTTTGCACTTCAGAGGTCACTGATTAATCAAGACAGCTAAGAAGTTTAGGTAAAAATCAGATTGCAGTGGGATCAGAAACCAAGCATGTTCTCCATAAATTAGTTTTCCCAGGAAATAAGTAGTGGTTTTTTGATCCAAGTTCACTATATCTTACTTAATTTTAATAAGCTGTCTTTGACTTATTCCTTCTCTAAAATCTAATCTACTATTCTTTAGTTTAATCATGCCCAAAGGTAAAAGCATATTAAATGATGACATTTACACTTTTTTATTTATTTTTCTCCCGCCTTTTTAATCCCTCCCCCCTACTTCCACCCCTCCACTTCCACCCCTGAGCTATGGATGTTGCCATTTCCCCTTACGAACTGGATCTCTGAAGGCGGGGCGTCTCCTCCCACACACTCACGGTGTGCACCCGGGACCCTGGCACCCCCAGCGCATTTGCCATCACATTCAGGGGGCCTGGCGCACCTGGGGTATGGTCCATGGCTCCACCTGGGGCGCAAACCCAGGACCTTCTACATGTAAAGCTGATGAGCCACCCCCACATTTATACCTTTTTAAAAAGTACAAAATCCCACCTAGGAAGACCAGGTGCTATAGGCATAAAAAATAAGGAATTTTAAGCCAAGATCCTTGCAATCTGTGAGGTCAACCAAGGGTTGCCTTGCTTAAAAAAAAAAAAGTACAAAATCAGATCATATAAGAAAAACCCACAGCTAACATCATACTCAACAGTGAAAAACTGAAAGCCTTTCTTCTAAGATCAGGAATGAGGCAATGATGTCCACTCTCACCACTTCTATTCAACACAGTACTGAAAGTCTTAGCCAGAGCAATTAGTCAAGGGGGAAAAAAGGCATCCAAATTAGAAAGAAGTAAAATTAACTGTTTGGAGATGACATGTCTGTCTTATATGTAGAAAACTCTGAAGAATCTACAAAAGAACTGTTAGAACTAATAAACTAATTCAGAAAAGTTGCAGGATACAAAATCAACACTCAAAAATGAGTTGTGTTTCTGTATACTAATAATAAACAATTTGAAAAAGAAATTCAGAAAACAATCCCATTCATAATAACATCAAAAAATAAAATACTCAAGAATAAACTTAACCAAAGAGGCAAAAGACTTGTACATTGAAACTACAAATCATTACTAAAAAACTTAAAGATGACACAAATAAATAGAACAACATCCCAAGTTCATAGATTGAAAGACAATATTGTTAAAATGTCCATACTACTCAAAGCGATATATAGATTAAATGCAATCTCTATAAAAAATCCAATGGCGTGTTTTTTATTTTTTTGCAGAAACAGAAGACATCATCCTAAAATTCATATGGAATCTCAAAGGAATATGAATGGCCAAAACAATCTTGAAAAGAACAAAGTTGGAGGCTTCACATTTCCAAATTTCAAAATATATTACCCGCCCCCTCCAAAAAAAAAAAAAACATATTATAAAGCCTACAGTAATCAAGACAGTATGGTACTGGCATAAAGATAGACATATAGACCAATAAAATAGAGAGTCCAAAAATAAACCCTCACATATATGGCCAAATGATCTTTAACAAGGGTGCTAAGACTATACAATGAAGAAAGGAGAGTCTCTCCAACAAATGATGCTGGGAAAACTGATAAGAATGAAGATAGATCCTTATCTTACACCATATACAAAAAATTAACTCAAAATATAGTAAAGATCTAAATGTAAGACCTGAAACAATAAAACTTCTAGAAGAAAACATAGGGGGAAAGCTTCATGACATTGGAATGGGCATTTCCTTGAATGATACTAAAAGTACAGGCAACAAAAGCAAAAATAGACAAATGAAACTACTTTGAACTTAAAAGCTTGTGCACACAAAAGAAACAATCAATAGAGTTGGACAATG